CTTTAAATCAGCCATACTCTAGTCAAGAGGTGTGGATCCCAGAGGAGGCACCTACTCACCTGGCCCAGGGCTCAGGGGTGGGAAAAGAAGGTGGTTGTGAAAGGGGCCCCAGAATCCCAGAGAAGCTCAGGCAGGATAAATACAGAAACAAATACAAATCTAGGCCTTTCACATTCAAACTGTGAAAACCTAAAGATAAAGAGAAAAACTTAAAAATAACTCAGGAGGGGAAAAAGGCATTATATTAGAAGAATAAAGATTGTAATTACAGATGATTTCTCGTCAGAGCCTGCAATCCAGAAGACAATTGAGAGATATCTGTGTATCAGGGAAAGAACAGATGCCAACCCAGATTTCTAAAAACAATAAAACTAGCTTTCAAATACGAAGGTGAGCTAAAGACCCCCACAGAAGCTGAGCAGATTCACTGCCAGCCCATCTGCAGTACAACAAATATTGGAAGAAATTCTCTAGACTGAAGGAGTGAATGTGATCCCAGACAGACATTTGTGTTTACCTAAAGAAATAAAAAGCTCCAGAAATGGCAAAAAAGAAGATAAATATAAAGGACTTATAGCTCTAAAAGATAATTATCTGAAACAAAAACAGTAATAGTGTATTGAGGAACCTACCACATACATAAAAGTCCCAGGAGGTAGAAATTATAAGTACTTGTGTAAGTTTCTTAAATTACATATGAAGTGGCCTAATATTGCTTACATGTAGACTGTGATAAATGGTCTAAACACCCCCAATAAAATGCAGGGACTGTAAGATTGGATTAAAAAGCAAGACCAACCATATGCTATTTAAAAGAAACTCACTATAAATATAACAAGTATATTAGTTTTCTGTTGGTGCCTAATAAATTATCTCAAACTTGGCAACTTAAAACAACATATACTTATTAGCTCACAGTTTCCGTGGGTCAGGAGTATAGGCATGGCCTAACTTGGTCCTCTGCTCAGAGTTCCACAAAAGCTCTGTCAAGGAGTCAGCCATGCAGTGATTCTCATCTGAAGTTCAGGATCCTTTTCCAAATTCATTCAAGTTGTTGGTAGAATTGAGTAGCTTGTGATTGTAGGACTGAGGTCCTTCTGGAGGGTCCTACAGGCTGCCCCTCTTGATAGGCAGTTCACAATATGGATATTTGCTTTCTTCAAAGCCAGCAGAACAACCTCTTTCTTTTAAAACTTTCTTGGGGATCCCTGGGTGGCTCAGCGGTTTAGTGTCTGCCTTTGGCCTGGGGCGTGATCCTGGAGTCTGGGGATCGAGTCCCACATCAGGCTTCCTGTGTGGAGCCTGCTTCTCCCTCTGCCTGTGTCTCTGCTTTTCTCTCTCTCTCTCTCTCATGAATGAATAAATAAAATCTTTTAAAAAAATAAAATTTTCTTGATTAGGTCAGGCCCTTTTGGTATAATCTCCCTTTTGACTAACCTAGAACCAGAAGATCAGGGACCTTAATTCCATGGTAGAGTCCCTTCACTTTTATCATGTAGAATGCTTCCATCCTATTCACAGGTCTGCCCATGCTCAAGGAGAGGGGAGAGTCCAGGGCACGTACACTGTCATAGGGGATTTTGGGGGCCAGTTTTAGAACTCTGTCTACCACAACAATATAGATAGGTTAAAAGTAAAAGGATACATAAGGAAATACCATGAAAATGCTAATGAAAAGAAAGCTGAATCACTATATTAATAGAAAAGTAGGCTACAAACAAGGAATATTATCAAAGAAAGAGGTGGCTGGGTGGTTCAGTCACTTAAGCATCCAACTCTTGATTCTGGCTCAGGTCATGATCTAAGTAAGAGTGGTGAAATGGAGCCCCACATCGGGCTCTGCACTCTGCTTGGAATCTGCTTGAGGTTCTCTCTCCCTCTGTCCCTCTTGCTCATGCTCTGTCTCTCCCTCTCTCAAATAAATAAATCTTTAAGAGAGAGAAAGAGAGAGAGAGAGAGAGAGAGAGAGGTAAAAACAGACATTGCAGAAGGATAAATATGTCAATTTACCAGGAAGACATAACAGTCCTAAAAATGTATTCACCTAAAACTCCTTCAAAATACATGAAGCAAAAGCTAAACAAATCAAAAGGATAGATAAATCCAAAAGTATAGTTAGAGACTTTAACCGCCTTTCTTAGTATTCAGTAAAACATACAGAAAATCAGTAAGAATACAGGAGGCATAAGATTGGACACTTTCCCCTTAAGGTCAGGAAAGGGCCAAGATATCCATCCTTATCACTCCAATTCAACATCATACTGCACATTTAGCCAGAGAAATGAGGCAAGGGGAAAAAAAAAGTCATAGAAAGCGGAAGGGAAGTAATAAAGCTCTTTATTCAGAAATGACATGATTATCTATGTAGAAAATCCTAAAGAGTTCAGGAAAAAAATATACCAGGACTAATAAATTAGGTTAGGGAGGTAGGAGAATGCAAGGTCAACATGCAAAATTGATTATGTCTGTTTACTGGCAATGAACCATTGGAAATTGGAATTAAATCATCAGTACTATTATAATGGTGAAGCGGGAGAGCGAAGTTCCTGTCTCAGAGTCGAAGAATTAATCTTGTGGACAAAGGAGAGCGAGTAAAGCCTTAGATTTATATTAGGTGAGGTTATAGAAAAAGCTCTCAGGAGTGAGAGTGCTCCCAACAGGGTTGCCACTGAGGGCTTTTAGGACCAGACTTTTATTGAAAGCTAACCAGGGAATTTAAATCCTTTTAACATCTCCACTGATAGCACCATTGAGTAAGGATTAGTGATAACACCTTTAATTGCTTACTTCCTTTTTAGAGACTGGTAATTTTTTGTTGGTCACAAGTAGCTGTTAGAACAGGATCCCACCTCTGACACTTAGGACAGGATGGTCTGGTTTGTTTTTTTATCTCTAGTTTCCTTACACGTCCACATTTGGGGGATTTTTGTGAGCCTGATCCTGTAGCTCCTTATCTATCTGTCATTACCTAGTCCCACCTGTCCCTTACTCAAGAGCATTAAAAACCACAAACTACTCTGGGGTAAATCTAAGATTTTAAAGCTGAAAACTACAAATGTTGGTGAGAAAAATCAAAGAAGACCTAAATAAATGGGGAAACAGCCTATGTTTGTGGATAAGAAAATTCAATATTCTTAAGATGTCAATTCTCCCCCAATTTCATGACACAATGTCAATCAAAATCCGAGTGGGATTTTTTGTAGATATTTACAAACTTCTCCTAAAACTTATATGAAAAAACAAACAACAAAAACTATTTTGAATGAGAAAAAGTTGGAGGATTCACACTCCCCGATTGCAAGCCTTACTATAAATCTACACTCATCATAACTGCAAGGTATTAGTAAAAATGACTATACATATAGATCAGTGGGACAGAATAAACTCCAGAAATAGACCAATGGCAATATGAACAATAAATTTTTGGCAAAATTTGCCAGGTAATTCATTAGAGAAAGGATAGTCTTTCCAAGACTGGAAAATGGGCATCCATTTGGGGAAAAAAAAGAATCTCGATGCATACTTTACACCATATACTAAAATTAACTATGTGATTTTGTGAATGGCATATCTCTACTCTAGGCATTGGTCTCTTTATCTGTAAAATGAGAGAGAGAAAAAAAAAAGAAAAAAAACTATTCTAGATGAGCTCTGAGATCCTACTAGCTCTCATCTCCCATGGCTGTCTTGCCTTCTGCTTCCACAGAACTCATTTACTCACTGGGTTAAGCTTGCAGATGTGTGCAAGCACGTCTCCCTGAGGCTAATGGCAGCAAAGGCTTTGGGCATCATAGAAAAATGCAGGTGGTGGTCTCTTAGGACTTCTTATGTTGTCACTGAACTGTTTCTAGCACCTCTTGTGCAAATCAGCCCCCTTCACTGTTCCCGGTTTTGCATTCACTTTTTATCCTTGCCCGGGGCTGTGCTTCCTGGTCTCTGAGGAATAGGTTTGGAGTTTACTTTCCCCTTGGATAAAGGCAATTACCTAACACAGGTGGTCACCCCAATTACCAGGTGAATTTAGGATGAACTGTGTGTAACAAATAGTATTGTCGAGTCCTCTTACTTGGAGACTAATTGTAAATAATGCTGCAAATACAGTAGTTCATCTTTTAGTTTTTTTTATTGTTTCCTTAGCTGCGCAGAAGCTTTGTATTTTGGTGTGGTTCCAACGGTTTCCTGAGGCATGAGAAACAAATGCAGAGTAATTGTTTTACATCCACTACGTTAGCCTTAAATGTGACTCAGTTGACAAATACAAGAACCACAGCCTCCCCCCAGCCCCACTCCCAATAAATGGACACAGAAGCTTCAGGCCCCTAAAGCCTCTTAGGGCTGGTTTGTCAGAGGACAGAGAAGGGGCAGCCAGCCAGGAGGTCTGGAGAGTCCTTCAGATCTCGTCCTTAGAGCTGTTCTTTCAGCCCCTCCGCCTACCAGTTCAGCCTTGTGTCCCTGGTAAGCAGGAGCATTCTAGAAGCAGAGCCTCCAACAAGGGTCTGAGGAGTCCGGCGGAGCAGGTGCTCCTGCCATAGACGCGGAGGGGAGGGGCTGGTGCCCCACTAGGGTTTTCCTGGGCACTGGGGGCGTCCGGGGGTCCGTCACTGCCCTCGAAGCCTCTACCTCCAAATTCTGCTTGTTTTAAAGAGTCAAAAGAAGGACCTGGGAGAGGGCTTGGCAACCCCGTAGGCTCCGGCAGGGACCGTCCCCTTAGGGGAGCCACACGCCGCGCGCTCGCTGCCCTCCGGCCGCTGCGGGCAGGTTTGGCCACGGACCCCGAGGGACCGTCCCCATCGGCGCGGAGCGGGGGGTCGTGCTCCCTAAGCCAGTTTGCCTTCCGGTGGCGCCGAGGCCCAGCCCTGGAACCTACCGCCTCCCGCGCGGCTCCTCCCCAGCTGCCCCCCACCTCTGCTTCCTGCTGCGCCCTCGCCTCCCCGAGAGCCGCCGCCCCCCGCCCCCGCTGCGCCCAGAGCTCGCGAGTCCCAGCCGCCCGCTCCCCGAGCCGCCCCGGGAGCCGCCCGCGGTCCCTCCCCGGAGAGCCGCCCCCCCTCCAGCGGCCCCGAGAGCTCCCGCGTCCCCGCTGCCCGGAGAGCCTGACCCCCCGCCCCCAGAGCTGCCTGTGCCGCGAGAGCCGCCCGCCTCCAGGCCCCAAGCCGCCCGGAGAGCCGCGGTCGAGCACCGAGCCCGCAGCGGCCGCGCCTGGTAAGGGGAACCCGGTGCCGGTCCCAGCGTCTTTGGGGGTCTGAGGGCCCACGATTTGGTTCCAGCCGGTGACTCTGGTGTGATCTCGCCCAGGTTACCGTCCTTGTGGGCTCGCGCCTTGGTGGGCCGGGTTGGTGATGGTCAGAGCCCCGGGCACAGCCGCCCTGGGGTGGCCGCGGAAACAGGCTGGGAGCCCCTGACCCTGCGCTCGCAACCCGGCGCATTTCATGGCGCGACGGTCTTCTCCGTCGGGTTGCCTCCTTCTTAGCTCCTGCGATCTCCGAGGCCCCGCAGGGTTTCATAAAGCTGGACTGATACTGTCCCCCCATTCGACAGATGAGAAAACTGAAACTCCAGAGGTGCCCTGGCTGGGAGGGGACACACTTCTCATTCTCAACTCTCCTAACTTCTCACAGCCCTCCCACCACTCCCAAGCCCTGACTTGTGCCAAATCCCAGAAAGGTCTGGTAGAGAAGGATGGATTCTCAGGGTTGTAAAGGGCAAATACGGATCATTATCCCCACCGCCGACCCCTCCCCCCAGGAGCCCAGCATTTCAAAGGAGACTCCTCAGTGGACATTGTCTCATGACTTTGATCTGAAAGCCATTCTATTCTCCCCATTTCCTGTGACATGATGTAGGACTCTATCCTGTGACAAACAGATTATGCTCAGGGCACATGGAAACAATCCTTTTGTCCACTAATTCTTAGTGAGACACAGATCACAACATCACAATGACTAAAGTACCCAACAAGTGACTTACACCGGGAAATACAGGGACTGGGCAGACGAGTGAAGGGATACTTATGAATAAGGTAGATAAATACTTTTATCTATCCTAGAACAGCATTAGAGAGCCTGCTTTTTCATAGTTTGATAAAATAAAGTATCATCATGATAAAATCTGGCTCATATAATTTCAAAATCAAAGTGCACTTTATGTTCCTTTGCTTGAAACTCCTACCTAAGCGAGATCCTCCCACAATCCCTGTCTGATACTGTCATAATCTCTGCTTGCATGCTGCCTGCCACTCTCTCTTGATACCTGGCCCCATTTTGGAGAAGATTAGTAGAATTTTCCTTTTAGAGAAGAAATCTGCCTCCATTCCCTGTTTCCACTTTTGCCTACTCTGAGACTGACGCCACATTCCTTTGGGTGTATGTACAGTCCTTCCCCCGGTCTTTTCTGACACTTTATTCTATCCTGTTAATATTTTGTCTATTTTGTTTTTTTGTTTTTTTTTAAAATATTTTTTTTTAATTTTTATTTATTTATGATAGGCACACAGTGAGAGAGAGAGAGGCAGAGACACAGGCAGAGGGAGAAGTAGGCTCCATGCACCGGGAGCCCGACGTTGGATTCGATCCCGGGTCTCCAGGATCGCGCCCTGGGCCAAAGGCAGGCGCCAAACCACTGCGCCACCCAGGGATCCCCTATTTTGTCTATTTTGACTCATTTTAGCATTTCTGTCAATATCCTTCCAGACTCGCCTCTGGACACTTAAAAAAATATTTTATTTATTTATTTTATTTTAGAAAGAGAGAGTAGGGGGATGGGCAGAAAGAGAGAATCTCAAGCAGACTCCGGGCAGAGCATGAAGCCAAGCAGTGGGCTCAATCTCAGGACCCTGAGATCATGACTTGAGATCATGATCAAGAGTCTGATGCTTAACCGACTGAGCCACCCCTGGACACTTTCTTATTTGTCGATATCTGCCTAAAAATCTATCCCTCAGGGAGACGTATGTCTCCCCCTGCAGCCTGACCACTCAGAAGATGGTTCAGGAGAACGACCCGGCTGCATTTCAACCTGTGTTTGATTGGCTTTTGTGTCAGCCCCATTGGTCACACTTAAATCAAAACACCAGATTTTTTTATTTTTAAATTTTTATTTATTTATGATAGGCACACAGTGAGAGAGAGAGGCAGAGACACAGGCAGAGGGAGAAGCAGGCTCCATGCACCGGGAGCCCGACGTGGGATTCGATCCCGGGTCTCCAGGATCGCGCCCTGGGCCAAAGGCAGGCGCCAAACCACTGCGCCACCCAGGGATCCCCACCAGATTGTTTTAAATCGAAATACTTCAATTTGGAGTGACTCTTGCACTTTTATTTTTGAATAATCTTTTTAAAAAGACACATGCTCTCATAATTTTGCAATACAATTCTCTGTGTTGATTTTAAGGCAGGCTTTCAGTTGGTCAACATCAGTTTATGTCCTGACTGTGGGATGGTAATGTTGTATGTGGTGTCCCAAGAGGCTTGTGAACTTGTTTGGAATCTTCTCTCCTCCCCACTGTGGAATCAAGAGAATATGCAAGTAAAGGAGCCTTTTTTTTAAATCCTTTTTTTTTAAGATTTTATTTATTTACTCATGAGAGACACAGAGAGAGAAGAGAGGCAGAGACACAGGCAGAGGGAAAAGTAGACTCCATGCAGGGACCCCAACGTGGGACTCAATCCCGGGACTCCAGGATCACATCCTGGGCTGAAGGCAGGCGCCTAACTGCTGTGCCACCCAGGGATTCCCCCCACCCTTTTTTTTTTTTAATCTTAGCTCCACGGCAATCTGATGACCTTGGGCAAGTCATTTGATGTTTAATTTCCTAATATTCTAATAGAAATTTCAACACCTATCTTGATCACATCACAAGGAATTTAGAAGAACAATTAGAATCACAGACATGAAGGAATTTATGTTAGGGATGGCTGCACAAGGATGCTTCCAATGATGAAGCCCATTGTCAACATCCTCACCACTGTTATCATCAGCTTTTTGAATAGATTGATTCCAGAATATTTTCTGAAGTTCCCAAACCTCAGAAAATGTCATCTAAAATACAAAAGATGCCAGAGAATTTGAGCAGTTTTAGCAAAAGTTGGAGTATAATTTACCAGAGACTAGGATAGCCCATGGTAGATGGTGAGGAAAACGCTCTTCTCTGGGCTTAAGGAAAGGAAGAAGAGGAGGAAAAGGAAGGAGAAGGAAAGGAAGAATGGAAATGAAGGAAGTAAGTTGTCTCAATATACTCTGATAACGTGGAAGTAGAGAGTTTCTCCCAAAGAGGACCCCAAAAGATCCACCGTGTGAATAGAATGTGCAAAATTTATTTCTATATGATGGGAGCAACCTGAATAGCAAATAAACTATGAAAATAATTTTTGATTCAGTGGAAATTAGCAAAATGCAAGTTTAAGCTAATTAAGATGTCCTTACTTATACCCATAAGAGTTACAAAAAAAATAAGTCTAATTAGGTTTAGGAATTCTCATATGTGGCTGGTGCCAGTGTGGGAGTTCACCCAACCATCCTGGGGTCCTAGTTGGTAGTACCTGGTCATCTGGCAACTGTCTGTCCCAGGTAACTTGTTGCACATGTGCACGAGGAGACATATACGGGATCATTCTACAGCATTGTTTGTAGTAGCAAGCAAGTAGTTTGAAACAGCTTAAACGTTTGTGAGTGAAGGGGTGCCTGGGTGGCTCAGTTGGTCAGACTCTTGATTTTGGCTCAGGTCATGATCTCAGGGTCATGAGATTAAGCCCCATGTCCAACTCCATACTCTTTGCAGAGTCTGCTCGAGATTCTCTCTCTCCCTCTCTCTCTGCCTTTCCCACCTGCTCATACTCAAATAAATAAATAAATAAATAAATAAATAAATAAATAAATAAATGTTTTAAAAATTATTGATAAAATATTACATAAATAGCATCATTTATATAAAAAGTTTCAAATACAAAAACAATACAATATCTATAGAGACACTGTATGTAGAAGTATAAATACACAAATGAGAATGAGCCATAAAATCCTCAGAATATTGGTTGCCTTGGAAGGACAGAGGGAGGGGGACTAAGATTGGAAGCCGAAAAATGTGAATGGAGCCATATGTGTAATGTTTCCACTTCTCGATCAAACAGAACAGCTGCAGCCAAGATGCTGAAATATTTACATTTTTCATGGCAAACGATGCCGTTTGTTTTATAACTCTGTGTATTCCTCCACTTAAGAAGTTTGTTTCATAACTGCATCACTTTTCAGACTGAAAAGGGACACATAATAGAGCCTCAGAGTTCCTCTTAATGATAGTTGCATGTCTCGTGCACACTTACCTTTTAACATCAAGGAGGAGGACCCAATACTCTGCCTCATTTGAATGAAACTTTTTTAAAATTTTTATTTATTTATGATAGTCACAGAGAGAGAGAGAGAGGCAGTGACACAGGCAGAGGGAGAAGCAGGCTCCATGCACCGGAGCCTGATGTGGGATTCGATCCCGGGTCCCCAGGATCGCGCCCTGAGCCAAAGGCAGGCGCCAAACCACTGCGCCACCCAGGGATCCCCATCATTTGAATGAAACTTTTATGCTAATGGTTGTGTCAATTTCCAGTTAAATTTGCTGAGATACAAAAAATGGTGATTTGGAGGAGAACAGAACCTCAGAGCCCACCAGGAAAGAAGTTGTATTAAAATCTGAGCAGGGGGGATCCCTGGGTGGCGCACCGGTTTGGCGCCTGCCTTTGGCCCAGGGCGCGATCCTGGAGACCCAGGATCGAATCCCACGTCAGGCTCCCGGTGCATGGAGCCTGCTCCTCCCTCTGCCTGTGTCTCTGCCTCTCTCTCTCTCTCTCTGTGACTATCATAAATAAATAAATTTAAAAAAAATAAAATAAAATCTGAGCAGGTGGGGCATGGGCTAAGTGGTTGAGTGGCTGCCTTCGGCTCAAGTCATGATCCCAGGATCCTGAGATTGAGTCCTGCATTGGGCTCCCCACAGAGAGCCTGCTTCTCCCTCTGCCTGCGTCTCTGCCCCTCTCTCTCTGTCTCTCATGAATAAATAAATAAAATCTTTTTTAAAATTTTAAAATAAAATAAAATCTGAGCAGGCTATGAGGTTATCTTCAATTTGTCTTGAATGTCGATTCTTTCCCTTCTACTATGGCACCATCTTTTCTCTACCCACGACTTGGAGGGTGGGCAGGGCTGGGGGTGGAAGGGGTAAGAAAGATGTCAGTGCTCACCTCCCTACCACTCTTTCCTCTCCTGTCAGTCCCTGAAGGAGTCCTGTCCCCTTTCCGCCCTACCACTGGAAGGAACCTTGTACTTTCCTCTTTGCCCCTGGAATATCCATCTACCATAGCTTCTGGGACTGGAAATTCTCAGGACTTCTGACAAATCAATGTCATTTACAGAAAGGCAGTTTTTCCCCCTGTATTCTAGCAAGTTCATCTACTTTGATTCCAAACAATAATAGTAATGTCCCACTCCTGCTTCCATAGAAGAATGCACTCTTCATTTTATGCCTTTAAAAGTTGGAGAGAGATAGCTGATTTGTTTTAAAATATTTCCTAATTTCCTGTAAGTTGAAAAAAAATTTTTTCAACAGTGCATTGCGTTAACATAACCTAGCTTTGCCTGATTTGCCTGAAGTTAGTCATAGATGTTTGAAAGTATAATATAAGTTAGAAAATTAGCAATGGAAATGGCTTATCCTAGGATAATTATTCTTAGACGTCTGAATTGAAAGTGTTTCAGGCCTTAGCAACTCCCATATGGACACTTGCTTTTATTCCTTTTCTGTTTTCTATTCCAGAAGAGCATGGAAGGGCTTCAGAGGAGCAGATACGGAACGATGGCTGAAGGTAAGAAAGCCTGGATATTCTCAGGAGCTCCAGGCACCTGGGAGAGTTGTTGCTCTCCCTCCACCCACCTCCATCTCAAACACAGGGACAGAAACCCCGCTATTCTAAAGTAAATAAGAGGGCAGCCCCGGTGGCTCAGCAGTTTAGCACCGCCTTTGACCCAGGGCCTGATCCTGGAAACCCAGGATCGAGTCTCATGTCGGACTCCCTGCATGGAGCCTGCTTCTCCCTCTGCCTGTGTCTCTGCCTCTCTCTCTCTCTTTCTCGGTGTGTGTCTCTCATGAATACATAAAATTTAAAAAATAATAATAAAAAAATAAAGTGAGGAAGAGGGACTCCTGAGTGGCTCAGTGGCTGAGCATCTGCCTTTGGCTCAGGGCGTGATCCCAGGGTCCCGGGATCAAGTTCTACATCAGGCCCCCTGCAGGGAGCCTACTTCTCCTTCTGCCTGTGTCTCTCATGAATAAATAAATAATCTTTAAAATAAAAATAAATAAATACATAAATAAAATGAAGAAGGAGGCAATTATCACTTGTTCCTTACCTTCCCTATTATCATCACACCCCAAACACTGTCATGCCACGTGACCTGTGGGAAACGTGGAAGTGAAACTCCACGTCAGTTTGGAGGATTTGGAACATGATTGTGAAAAACGATCTCTCTTTCCTGGTCTGCTCCGAACTGGAAAGAGGCTAAGTTCCCGTAGAGATTGAGTAATGGTGCTTGCTGCAAATACTTAAGGAGAGGAAGAACCAACACAAAGTAGAAGGAATAAAGCAAGAGATTTTAGGAGACTGAAATGAATTTAATTCATTTGGACTCATACGAAGTCTAAAAGTCCTAGGGTCTCACAAGCCTTCATCCCTTGAAGATTTTATTTTTTTTAAGGTTTGATTTATTTATTCATGAGAGACACAGAGAGAGGCAGAGGGAGAAGCAGGCTCCATATAGGAGCCCGATGTGGGACTCGATCCCAGAACCTTGGGATCACATCCTGAGCCGAAGGTAGACGCTCAACCACTGAGCCACCCAGGTGTCCCCCCTGAAGATTTTAGCTCTTGGCTCAGAGTCGCCCTCCCCAACACCACTTCTGTGATCATTTCCTGTAACTCAACCAGTCAGATCTCTCCAACACACGTGCTTCTACTGCTCTTCCGCTCTTCTTCAGCCTCCCGTCCAGGGGCATCTCCCAGACTTTGTCCTTGACATAAACAAGTCTTTTGTCATCTTAGTTGCAAATGCCCAACTGCCCACTAAGAGAGTAGAGACCCAGGGCCATTCAGCTGGTAGTTGGCAGAAGGTTACTGTAGCTGGCATCTGAGATGCCCTTTACCCCTGAGGTTTAGATGCACATGTTGGGTACTGCTGTGCGGGCATGCCTGGGGATCTGTGGGTGGAGAAGAGGTGATAATATTTTCTCATTTGTGGCTTCTCATCCTCTGCCTCCTTCTAATCTTATATTTATTTAGCATGAAAATGGCCAAAGCACCATCTGTGAAAAAGCACGGAGACACATTCTTTTTCTAAAAAAAAAAAAAAAAAAAAAAAAAAAAAAAAAAGCCACGTTTTCCCTGCTCTAGATGAAGTGCTTAGAGCATCCTTGGGGCAGTGCCTCATTTGGCCGTGGGTCTAAGCATGAGCTGCTAATGTCAGCTTTTTGGGATCCATGAACATCTTCAAGTGGTATACAAACTTTTGTGTATCTTTAGATATGATTGTTTTGTGGGAGGGAGATTCACCAGCTTTCGTGAGATACCACGAAGGCCCATAACCTAAAAATACTAAGAATCACTAACTTAGGGGTTCCTGGGTGACTCTGTCGTTGATGTGTCTGCCTTCGTCTCAGGTCATGATCCTAGGGTCTTGGGATCAAGCCCCATATTGGGCTCCCTACTTATGAGGAGCCTGATTCTCCCTCTCCCTCTGCCTGCTGCTCACCCTGCTTATATTCACTCTCTCTTTCTGTCAAATAAATAAATAAAATCCTTAGAAAAATAATCACTAACTTAATAGACACAACAAATTGTTTTTTTATAGGCAGAGACGAAGATAACTGGTTTGCAACACCACCCTCCCTGAGGATCATCCTGGTGGGCAAGACAGGCAGCGGGAGAAGTGCCACAGGGAACAGCATCCTCTGCCAGCCGGTGTTCGAGTCCAGGCTGGGGAACCAGCCTGTGACCAAAACGTGCCAGGGGGAGACAGGGACCTGGAACGGAAGGGGCATCCTGGTGGTCGACACGCCCCCCCTCTTCGAGGCAGAGGCTCAGACCCAAGAGCTGTACAAGGCCATCGGGGACTGCTACCTGCTGTCCGCCCCGGGGCCCCACGTGCTGCTGCTGGTGACCCCGCTGGGGCGCTTCACCGCCCAGGACGCGGTGGCCGTGAGGAGGGTGAAGGAGGTCTTCGGGGCGGGGGCCATGAGGCACGTGGTGGTCCTGTTCACCCACAAGGAGGACTTGGCGGGCGAGTCCCTGGACGATTACCTGGCGGACACGGACAACCACAGCCTGAGGAGCCTGGTGCAGGAGTGCGGGAGGAGGTACTGCGCCTTCAACAACAGGGCCACCGGGGAGGAGCAGAGGGAGCAGCTGGCCAGGCTGATGGCCGTGGTGGAGAGGCTGGAGAGGGAGACAGGCGGCGCCTTCTACAGCAACGACCTCTTCTTCCAAGCCCAGCTGCTGCAGCGAGGCGGGGGCGGCACCCGCGGGGCGGAGCTGGAGGGCTACCTGGCCAGTGTGCGGGTGCAGGTGGAAAAGCAGAAGCGAGACCTGCGAGGTCCCGGGAGTACCTGGGCCTGCCCGGCGCTCCTTAAAATCACAAAGTGGATGCTTTCTCATATCGGGATTTCTGCGGTCCTTATTATATGCCTTTTGATTTTCCTTGCCACTTTAATTAACCTGTATATTACTCATGGGCACTGAGCCTTTTCAGGTGATTGCTGCAGTCAGCTGGTTTGTGTGTTCAGAGTCACCATCTCTGGGCCAGAGCCTTTGATTTTTTTTTACCTAATGTCACGTTCCATTTCTGTCCATCACATCTGGACACGCTGTCCATTTTCTTCAAGCCTTTTAGGTAAATAAAACCCAAAGGAAAAAAAATATTTTTCTTTTTTGTTTTGTTAAGAATTGTGATGGTACAAGAGAAACTGTCACGAAGTGGTTGGGACGTGCAGGGAGGCAGGTGGCGGGGGGCGAAGCCATGGGGATGTGCCACCTCTGGGCCCTGCTTCAAGCCGTTGTGCTGTTGAGGGGAGACACGTGTGTTATATTAAAAGCTGGTGACAGAATGCCTTATTTTATTCAGAAACATGCTCTGATTTCATCAGAGTTAGTCATAAAAGCTGACACCCACCCCCCTAACCCCTGGGAGAAAGAATGATGAGGAGAGGTAAGGGCCAGTTCCTGAGACCCGAAGAGGCCCTGGAACAGGTACAGGAGGGGGTCATAGCAGCACGATAGGGGCTGAGCCTCAGGAAAAGCAGTCACTAGGAAATTATCAGTGGCTGAGAAAACAAAGGAACTGTAATTTCTTAGAGTAGGGGTGGTAGGGCTGGATAGTGAATAAAATTTTAGGCTTAAAAATGGTCTATAGTTGGGTGCCTGGGTGGCTCAGTGGGTTAAGCATCTGCCTTTGGCTCAGGTCATGAGCCTGGGGTTCTGGGATCAAGCCCCAAGTCGGGTTCCCTGCTCCTCAGGCGGTCTGCTTCTCCCTCTCCCACTCCCCCGACTTGTGCTCTCACTCCCTCTCTCTCTCTCTCTCAAATGAATAAATAAAATATCTTTTTAAGAAATGGTCATAGTCTACTCAATTCTGTCCTGGTGGGGATCCCTGGGTGGTGCAGCGGTTTAGCGCCTGCCTTTGGCCCAGGGCACGATCCTGGAGACCCGGGATCGAATCCCACGTCGGGCTCCCGGTGCATGGAGCCTGCTTCTCCCTCTGCTTGTGTCTCTGCCTCTCTCTCTCTATCTGTGTGACTGTCATAAATAAATAAAAATTTTAAAAAAAAGTTTAAAAAAAAATTCTGTCCTGGTAATGCAAAAGCCGCCACAGGCTCCAGGAGGCTGCATTCCCATAAAGCTTGACAAACTGTGACCTTTGAATTTGCTGTGACTTTCACATGTGGCCATGAAAACATTATTCTTCCTCTGATATCCTCAACCATTTTAAACTGTGAAGGCCTTTCGCACCTCATGGGCTGTATAAAACACCTCGCAGTTCAGACTGGGTCCATCTCACAGTGCGTCTGTTGCTGGTCGAGCTACATCGCATGCAACATCTTAACCTCAAACCCAGTACAGTCCAGTTCAATCAGATGTGCTCTCTGTGGGAATTTGAGGAAAGTGTCGTACCCAACATTTCAATGGTAGTAAAGAGAAGAGGGCAGACCTTGGGGTGGACTCTAAGTCGAGGTCATGAATTCAGTGGAAACAGACAAATCAGATGAGGGGGATCTTTGGTAGCCACCCCCTGCCCTCCTTCTCTGCTCCTTTGTATTCTGGGAGGGAGACCTGCAGTCGTCCCAGGCAGCCTGTGGCTGGATAGGTAAATAGCTAATTCTGGGGTGAGTCTTAGGGACTCAATGTGACACCCAGGTGTAATCTCCAAACCTCTATGGGTGACAAAGTTACCACGTTGACCTCTACAGCTGCATTGAGTAATTGACTCCAGACATGTCAAGAGACGTTATATTCAAGTCCTCAAACCCGGGACATGCCAAGTTTTCAGACCAAGGACCACCCCCTGAAGGCAGCATTCTCAATTTGTGCCACCTTACCGGATCTCTCCTTGCTTGAGTCAATCCAGTGCAGCTCCATTTACTACGGGAGGGCTGAGAAGTGGGTTCTATGCCGGGCACCAGGAATATTAGATAAATGGTATACGGCTCCTGCTCTACATAAGGGATCACATGATAGAGGAATGAAGGGCACACAGACATGGATGTAAGAGTAATTTGTTCAGAGGTAAGATGTTGGCCAAAAGGAGAGCACACAGGCTCCCTAGACAGGGTAGTGTTTGTGTCTGTCTAGGAACACGCTGGCTGGCCTCTCTGGGCAGTCCCTGCTTGGGGAGGCCACTATCCAGGAGGGGAAGGGAATCAGCACTTGAGAGGTGCAGGGAGAGACGGGGCTGGGCGGGGATCTCAGTAGGTTCCTCAGGGTTCCACTGCTGTCTTCTAGAAAAAGGGAGTCATTGGGACGCCTGGGTGGTTCAGTGGTTGAATGTCTGCCTTAGGCTCAGGTCGTGATCCCGGGGTCCTGGGATGGAGTCCCGTGTCAGGCTCCCCGCAGTGAGCCTGCATCTCCCTCTGCCTATGTCTCTGCCCCTCTCTCTGTCTCTCATGAATAAATAAATAAAATCTTAAAAAAAAAGAAAAGAAAGAAAAAAAGGAGCCACTGGAGGTTTTTAAGGAGATTCGCATATTTTAGGAAGATTCCGTGGCAGCAATGTGGTGGTTGGATTATATAAATGTAAGCCTGGGGGCAGGGATAACACTTAGAAAATAAGATTTCCATCTGAGCCATCAGGGTTGAGCTGCAGCAGAGGGAATGGGATAGAGAGGAGAGGACACCCATGGGCAACCCTGACAAAGGGTGGAATTTACACCAGGTGGTTCTGGACAGCAATGCAGACCCTTCCCAATTTCCGATTTCCGAAGGCAGGGCATTCCTAGGAAACCTTTTGAAAGGCAACACGGCGGCGTAAAGCAAAGAAACAATTACCGTTAATTTATATGGAACATTTTTGAACATTCCCAGACACCCCCACCACCCCACCACCCCCACCAAATGATCTTTCTTTGGCTTTTCCAATACCCTCAGACACATTTTGTTAATGGATGCATGAAATCAGTTGAGAATGAAGCCCAGAGCTGTGGTGGCGGACACCGAGATGCTGTGTGGGGCTCCCGGAGAAGCACCGGCCAAGCCACTCTGGCTGCCCTGGATGCACGCTGCCCCTCCCATTGGCTCACTGCAAAACCAGCTGAATGTTATTTTCACTTTTTGCCACTTGTCGTAAAAATGAAAATCCTCTTTGAGTTTTCTTTCACTAAGGGAAAACAGGCACTAATGTAAATGGTTGTATAAAAGCGAAGTGGAAATGACATGACACGCTCTTTCAAAAACAGGGGATTCCTGGATGAGGGGGGGACCAGGTTTCAGCCTTGGGGCCCTGGGCCTTCAGAGGGTGAGTGGGTTGAGCAGAAGAAGGTGATCCAACAAGGTTGGATCTGAATGTGCCAAACTTGAAGCCATCGGAGGCACAAGTCCAGATCCAGGAGACAGTGGGTGACCTTGCCTCCCACCAGGAAGTCACCTGGATGAAGCAAAAACTTGGCCCAAGAAAGTATGGGGGAGCAGGGCTGCAAGAGGAGGGCCTCCCTCCAGGTGTGTGGCTAGTCCATACCCAGCAAGGGGCCTGTTTCCCCACCACCAGCAGCAGTGATGTGCAATAATCCGCATCCCTTCTTTGTTGCTCTCCTAGCCCAAAGAGATTTTATAGCAGAGATGGAGAAAGGGTTTTGTTAAACCTTTACTCATTCATATTCGAATGTTTGCCAAAGTAATTCCTTGACCACAAATGTTGGAGAGGATGCGGAGAAAAGGGAACCCTCTTACACTGTTGGTGGGAATGTGAACTGGTGCAGCCACTCTGGAAAACTGTGTGGCGGTTCCTCAAAGAGTTAAAAATAGACCTGCCCTACGACCCTGCAATTGCACTGTTAGGGATTTACCCCAAAGATTCAGATGCAATGAAATGCCGGGACACCTGCACCCCGATGTTTCTAGCAGCAATGTCCACAATAGCCAAACTGTGGAAGGAGCCTCGGTGTCCATCGAAAGACGAATGGATAAAGAAGATGTGGTCTCTGTATACAATGGAATATTACTCAGCCATTAGAAACGACAAACACCCACCATTTGCTTCGACGTGGATGGAACTGGAGAGTATTAGGCTGAGTGAAATAAGTCAATCGGAGAAGGACAAACATTATATGGTCTCATTCATTTGGGGAATATAAATAATAGTGAAAGGGAATATAAGGGAAGGGAGAAGAAATGTGTGGGAAATATCAGAAAGGGAGACAGAACATAAAGACTCCTAACTCTGGGAAACGAACTAGGGGTGATGGAAGGGGAGGAGGGCAGGGGGTGAGGGTGAATGGGTGACGGGCACTGAGGGGGGCACTTGACGGGATGAGCACTGGGTGTTATTCTGTATGTTGGTAAATTGAACACCAATAAAAAATAAATTTATTATTTAAAAAAAAAACAAAGTAATTCCTTGGAAAGTGTTCAAGAGTGAGCTCTGTCTCTCCCCCAGACTGTGAAGGAAGTACAGAGGGGACCTGCCCAGAGGTGCTCACATTCCCCCACCCTCTCTGATTTTTTTCAAAATAATCCAACGAGATGGAGTTTTCACTTTACTCATGATTCACTGAGTGTCTACAACGGAGCAGGCACTTTAGTAGTAGAGGCGGGCCCTTCCTAATTCTAGGAACAAGTTCATTTTTCCTCAGTGCACCTTCCTGGAAAGAAGCATGAGAACAAGAAGGCTCTGATAGGATGAAAGATGTTTAAAAAGGAATATGGAGAATTCTTCATTACTTCACATGTTTTCAGATGCAGGTAGAAGCAATTAGGAAATGTGTTGGCAGACACTTCTGAAATCCAGAGATAGAGCGGGCTTCCGGACTGGCTAATTCAGGGCTCAGGTTCATTTCATTTCTCTATCTGCTTTGAAGCATTGGCTTCAAGCTCAGGCTGGCTGCGAGATGGCTGCTGGGGTTCCAAGCATCACTCTCGTACCCAACAAGGCCAGAGGGAGAAGACTGTCTCCTGAGAAAGGAGAGACCTTTTGTCTCCACCTCTACAGACTTTTACTCACTTCTCCTTGGCCTGAATTGGTTCTCAGGCCCATTCTTGAACTAGTCACTGCCCCAGAGAATGGGGTCATATATAGACCAGCAAGGCATTCCCAGAGCTGAACTGTTGTCCTCTTCTTCTGAGGCACTTGGCTCCGTTCAGGAGAGGTGGGGACCTGAACCAAATCCTAAGTCCGTAAGAAAGAAGGAGAATGGGAGCTGTAGAGACAACAAGCTGTGTCATCTGTGGAAGATGAGAATTTCAGAACTGGGGACACACAGGACAACGAACCATGAGGAGATACTTCAGGAAGTGCTGTGACATACAGATGACAGAATGTTTTTTAAAACTCTCTGCCCAGGGACGCCTGGGTGTCTCAGTGGTTGAGCGTCTGCCTTTGGCTCAGGTCATGATCCCAGGGTCCTGGGATCAAGTTCTGCATCAGGTTCCCTGCAGGGAGCCTGCTTCTCCCTCTACCTATGTCTCTGCCTCTCTCATAAATAAATAAATAAATAAATAAATAAATAAATAAATAAATAAATAAATAAACTTTAAACTCTACGCCCAATATGGGGCTTGAACTCACGACCCCAAAATCAAAAGTCACATGCTCTATAGACTGAGCCAGCCAGGCATCTCAGATGACACAAAATTAAAGATGATACAGAATGATCAGCAGAAGTAAGCTGCACAGGATGAGACAAACTCAAAATTCATGAGGAGAAATAA